AGCATCACTGGCACCTGTTCCTATTGTAGGCAATCCATAGCCGACGTAGATTCGAGCTCAGTATACTCCAGAGGTAGCTAGAGCGTTGAGGCTCTCATTACAGCTACGGAGTTGATTATCTGACATCCCATGTGAAATTCAGTGAGCTTCCTTCCACTAACACAGCTCCTTGGCTTACCGACAAAGATACCAAGGCCAGGTGGACAACTCGTATTCACAAGTTGAGAACTTCAAGTGCGACCGGAAGCCAACCTCCTCAGGCCTCCAGAACACTTAAGTTTGAATTGGACGAGAACACGACCTTGAAGAATTCTTTTATGCCAGTCAAAAAGGAGAAGAACGTGACGGGAAGCGAATCGTCTTACAAATTGGTTGGTGATCATGGAGCCAACGTTGTAGCTCCTGATTTTGCTGCCAAAACTCCGACGTCATCATCACTTAAGAATATGACCATTCTGTGGACCTCTGAAGGTGACTTGTATCGATTCGCGGAGGTATTTTGAGATGCATTACTTGAACAAAAGATGATGATCAAAGAAGTCAACAACTTCACCAGCGTGATCGACAAAAGATCCGTAGATACGATCATCGAGGTAAATGCTCTGGCTGTGGTTTGCAATACTTTCAAGAGACGAATTGGTGAAGGGGCAGAATTTGAGAACACGGCAGGGTTCTCCACCATTTCTGATGGATTGATGGGTATTTACCGGGATCTCGTAGCCACCACCGGACGTATGATAGATGTTCAGTCTGCCGCGGAACTGAGCGATCATGGGCTGGAACATGGTTTGGCGACCATTGAGACCAAGGTTGAAGTTTTGAATACGAAGGTCCAAGATCTGGATGCTGATCACGGAATTTTGATCTTGGGCCAGCAAGAAATTGCTTGAGGTGTCTATGGCTTCTCTCTGTGAGAACGTGCTACCTGACATTCTTGAAATGAAGGAGGATTACTATGAGGATCCTAGAAAAACTCTGAGTCAATGAGTTCAATCTCTGGAGACCCAAGCCAACACCCGCTCTGCGGGCACCAACCTTTTGAGCTCCTTTAGCAAAACAGGCTCTGTAGATACAAGAGGTCTAGCCATTGGCGGTTCTGCGAATCAGCTCGACGCAGTCGTGGCCAGGCTCCAACGACTAGAGATGGATAACTCCTCATTGAGAGACGAAGTGGCCAGACTAACTGCTGACGCAGCACCTCGGCCAATGTTGTCCCCAGCCCCTTTGTCAGCTATGCTTCAACATATTCCGAAAAAACAAAAATACAAAAGCAACACGCATATCCGGGTCCTAAAACATCATTTTCGGTACTTCGTCTGCACGAATTTTCTGTAGCAAAACAAAATTCGCTTCTCCTTTTTGCGTCAAAACTGACAATGGGAAAGTCAAAGAACAACAAGAAAGTGGCAATCGCTGCTAAAGCTGTTAATTCTACTGCTCTTACTCAAGGTCGCATCAGTTTTTTGCAAAAAAGCCGAGGCTGGCATGCATGACCGAGCGATCTTTGCAGAAGGAGGGGGGTTGAGAGAAAAGATTCCTGAAGGCAAAGTAGTCATTTGCGATCGAGTCTACAAGGATTCGAAGTATAAGGACAACGACGAACTGATGCTGCCATGTGTTGGCGACAATAATAATAACTGAGACATTAATCGTTAATATGCTACTCTATGGGCATTCGATTGCGGGTGAAATATTCGGCTGTAAAGGTCAAGTACTGTGAAGCGGTGAGTCAACAACAAGTTTGAACCATGTGAGGCATCTGTATTTTGAACAGAAGTTGCTCAAGTCTCCCAAAGGGGTAAAGACTTCTCCCGCGACGTGGCGGGGTGAATTCGGGGCATGTAAGGTCCCGCGAAAAGTTGGTCAGGGTCCAGGGGAGAAAATAGTCCGCAGACTGCGGCGTTGTGCTTTCATGGAGCGACGGAAATCTCTGCGTTCCTGACGAAGCAACTTAAGCCACTCTTCCTTGTCTACCAATGACTTGCGAAGGACTCGTCGACGGCATGTTAGCATCGGTTGAATTTCCTTAGGCAAGTCATCGGGACCCATATCAAACTGTGAGTGAATCCCCTCATTGACAGTACTGTGACGTTCACGTAGTTGAACGTTATCATCCGAATGTTGAACGGAGTTCCGTTGCTCCCACATGTAGAAGCCGATCAAGATCAGCTGTTGTGAGAGGCGGGACGCCCAAAGAGAGACAGATCGTCGACATCTGCCTAAGACAAACCCTCTCCAACAACTGCCAATGATGGCTCATCTGAAGAGAAAGAACATTGAATCTCAGGAGGGAGCGGTTTCTCTATCCGGGGCATTCACAAAGGTGACAAAGAAGAAGGTGAAGAAGAAGAAGTCGCCCCTTTCCGATAACCTCGAGAATCATTTTCTCAAAGATCTGTCCCCGGCACAACGCAAACTGGCTGAAGCCACAGACCGCAAACTGCAGAACAATATTGATCGCCATAAAGCAGGTCCACTCTTCTTGATGATCCTTCCTGGAGAAATGGAAGGCTCTTACATCTTTGTATGTCGCAAGAAATATGGTCAGTTGGCTCGAAACGTGTTGAAAGGGATAATTCCGTTCTTGATTCATCACCTGTGCGAACTTACCGATACGCAAGCTGATCGAGTCTTGGGCAAATGGATTCCCAAATCAGAAATCCAGGCGACTCGTCGTAAGTTTTTGGTATGGTGCACCAACACACTACGCGCTATTCAGGCCTCCGATCAGTCCAACAAGGTGGAAGAAGCTTTGGAGTTTTTGGACGATGTGATCGATCGAGGATACCACCGATGTTTACCAAGGTCAACTCTCGATTGGCATGGATATGGCGAACGCCAAGGATATTGACGATGGACAAACGGTCACGGGGATGCTTGATGAAATGCACGAACGTGAACAACAACTGGAGGAGGCCTTTGTGGAAATTGAAGCTTGTGACAACGCCTTGGCGGCTAAAGATCAGGCCCTGGCCCAGCAGAAGGCCGCGACTGCAGCTCTCCAAGCCCAACTTGAAGCTCTTCAACGTCAAACAGCTCACCACTTGGCATTCGACTCGCAACCACCTGCTCAAAACAATAAGGTCTCTCCAGATCGGTCCGAATTTACTACGCCACCAAAAAAGAGGAAAAGCAAGGATACTTCCACGGTCAAAAGAGGAGCGTCGACAGGTCTACGGCTGGTCTTAAGCCGCCCACTAAGTCAACTCGCACCAGCACGTCTGTTCACTTTCAGCAGCCGAAGCAGCGGTCTCAGAAAAAGTCTCAGGTTCACATGGACACAACTCAGATGGATATATATAACTGAATCATTAATTGGTATTTATGCTACTTCTAGAGTATCCAACTGCCGGTGTAATACGGCTGTAGAGGCCAGGAACTAGGTTGCTTTTGGTCAACAAAGTTTGAACCACGTGGAG